CTACACAATGTGATTCACAGTAGAAAAGACCATTTTTATACTTAAGACATAACTTAAATGTCAAAAAGAAAAACAGGACCCTTTAATGGAATAATAGCCATTTTTTATTGGGTGATGAACTATGTACCAGGAGTGCACGCACTATCTTTTGCTCCAATTAAGGGATGAGGAAACTAACGAAGAAAGGCTAACTTCTTCAAGGGCGCATGGCTAACAAGGGGTAGAGCTGGGGTTTGAACTCAGAATGTCTCCCCGAAGAGCCTTACCACTATCCTGTGACCCCCTGTGCTTGTAAGGGACTTGACGCTTTACTGAGCTTCAGTTTCCAGTTCCAGGATGCAGGCTGGTCCAGGACAGTTGTCCCCAGTTTATAGATGATAACTCTAAGACTCCGTGGCGTGGAACCGCCAGCTCCAGGCATGGGTACAGGCCATGATGTCCCTGAAGCTTGTCCTCAGGACATTCTCCTTCCCCTTTAGATGGTCCACCACCCCACCCCGAGGTGGGGTGACGCTTTTCATTTTCCCCTTCGCCGTCAGAACTCGCCTGTCCTGTGTCCTGCTCCTTCAGGGCTCCGTTCTCCGCTCACACTGTCCTCTCTGCCTGGACGTCCCTCTCTCTCTCCCGTCTCCCCAGAGTCAAGGCCCAATGTCTTCCTTGATCTGCTAAGCTGAGCTCTTTGCTCCTTTTCCTGTATGTAGGCTCACTTTATTCATACTTTGTGCACGCCAGTGATGACATTTTGTCTTGTATAGTAGCCTTTTACGCGTCTGACCCGTCCGCCTCCCGGATTGTAATAAGCTTCTTCAGTCAGCGTCCCAATACGAAATATCTTTGTAGAACCCCACCCCTTCCTCCAGGGCCAAATGGCCTCACTGACACAGCAGGAGAAGACCCCCTGGCACGTGGGAGTGACTGAATGCACCCCAGCTAACAACCCAGTCCCTATATACCTGCCTTTTCTCAAGGTCTGCCTCTAGCAAGGTCAACTGTCTGGAAGAGGGAGCTGTTCAGTGCCAATGAGGCATTTGTACCCGTAAGTGGCATCACGTGAAAGCCTAGCAGAGCGCTCCATCCTGCAAATGAGACAAGAATTGAGCTCACCTTCATCTCGGTGAAGTGCAGGAGGGATATCTTCCAAGGCAAATGACATACCAGATACTTTTATTAAGCTTTGGACTCTTGAGTCCCTCCATCTGGGTGTATCCGATGCCATGGCACTTATTATAGTCGTGAACACAGAGTCAACCACTCAACCTTCATTTATTGACTCAGAGAGGAGTTTTTTCCAAACCAAACAGCTCCGCTATCCCAGGAGCAGCTGCCTCCGAAGGAAGGGAGGGTGCTCTTCAATTTTCCCCACCTAATCTCCTGCTCGCTCTATCCGCAAAGCCTCCTTGCTGCAAGGAACAGGCTATTTTCTTTCTCCCAAGCCTCATTCTCAATCTTCTCTGTGGCAAGAAAGGTGATTGGATATTGGGATTTTAACTGGTTTTGTCTCAAAGCCATTTAAAATGGAGCTGAAATGTCAACCGGATTGGTGTTGAATGGAGTAGATGGTTAAGTGGAAAGGAGCTTGAAAGGAGAGACAGGGTTAGTAATCCCCACTGATAACTTGGAAGGGGTGACAAGAGGTCCCTGGCTCTGTCTTAATGAATGCAAAGGACCCCAGGAATGATCCCTGCCACCGTTTGTACAGAACCTCCTAAAAGATGGCGTTTCAAAAATGCCTAAGGGCACTCTGTTCCTGTACAATTGATTCGGTTGTCTTAGCAAACCTTTTTTTTTTTTTTTTTTTTTTTTTTTTTTTTTTTTTTAATATCTAGAGGTAGAATTTAGCTCATCCTGTTTGACAATATTCACTACATTTAAATCCCCAGAGCCGGAAGCAATGAGGTTTTCCTGCATTTTGAAACAGAGCCCTGATGTATATATTCTGCAGTGGCTAATGTCACCGTGTTTTACGTCGTCTCTAACAAGGCTGTAGGAAATACGCAAGGAGGGATGGGTTTGAGCCTCCGTGGCTTCATGCACATGTTGGACTGTCCCTCCCTGCCTCTGCTCCGGCTGGGCTGCTTGGTTTTCGCTCCGGGAAACCCTTGAATA